TGGGGGGAGGGGGGCGAGGACCCCCAAGCCCCGGTGGGCAGCAGGCTCGGGTCTTGGAGAAGGAGCCCGCGCCTGGAGGTGGCGCATCGCCGACCCCCCTTGCGGGCACCCCGGCCCCCCCGCTCCGCATCTGCCTTCCCGCCGGGTTGGCAGCTCCCCCGTCACGTGACCCGAGCGTGGCATCCCCGCCCTCCCCCCACACCCCGCAGCTCCCCGCGCCGCAGAGGCTGCAGGCCGCGCGTGCGCACTCGCAGACACACCTGCGCTCCGGGCGGGCGGGGCTGCCCACGCGCCCCGCGCATCCTCCCTCCCAGGAGCAGCACCCGGCCAGGGAGACGCGCTCCCACGGGGGCTGGGGTCCCCGTGCCTCTCCTCCGCTAGGAAGTTGGCCACACCACCAGCGCCACCGCCCCGCACCCCCGCACCCCCTTAGAGCAAGGCCTTTGGCTGAGCCCTGGGACTGGCCTTTCTCCTTGGGCGTTCTGAGGTCAGAGTCCCAGCTGGGCTCCCGTGACCTTGGGAAGTGACCTCCCCGCCCAGGACAATGGACCGAGCAATAGCATCCACCTCCTGGGGCTGGAGCGAAGACCCCTTGGTTGGGGGCGGGGGGTTCACATCCAACGCTTAGATACTGCAAGCAATGATGAGGAGCGCAGAAATAAGTATTGAAGAATCGGCTATGCAAGGAAGGAGCCCAGTGCCACAGCCGGCTACTGTCCTTCGGGTGGGTGGCCTTGCAGACTCTCAGACCCGCGACCCCCAACACCCTCCCTCACAACCTGGAAGCTTTATCCTCCGTTTGACCAGTGGGGGCGGGGGTGGGGGGGAGGAGGGAAATCAAGGCTGGGAAGCATCCGAGCCCACATCCAGAGTGATTCCGTCCTACAGCTGCCAAGTCAGGGGGTGCTGAGGGCCTCACTGTCTGCCGCCCCCCTTCTCACCCTCCAACTTAACACCACACCGTGCTGACTCGGAGGGAACATCTCGGGTACACAGACACAGGAAAAGGGCTTTTTTCGTCCCCCTGCTGCAGAAAATCAGGAACTGTGTCACTTGCTGGCTCTGACCTTCGAGGAGGACCCGCACAGACTTCTGCTCCCCAGTTGTCCTTCAGCCCTCCTTATGCAGCAGTGTATCCTGGGGCTCCCCTTCCTGGACAGTGCCCTGTCCCAAGTTCCTGTCCTTCCTGTTGGTGCCGGGCCAGCCAGCCCAGGCACTCTCCCAGGTCCTGCTTCCGCCTCTGCCCACGCCTGCCTGTGTCCACTCAGTCAGAGGGCCTCACTCTCCACCCACAGCTCACCGACCTCCTGCAGCATTCACTAGAGCAGCAAGCCAGGGGTTGGCGGCTCCCTGGGCCTGTGTGACGTCCCAGCTAGGATGAGGCTCTTGCATGGAGGTTGCTCTCTGTGGATGGTGCCAGCTGGCTAGGGAGAGAGCAGGTGGCATCCGCATATATCCACGATCCTCTCCTGTTTGCAGATGGCCCTCTCCTTCTCCGGTGCACCCGGAGCCTGTCAGGGGAGGCAGGGAAGAAAGAGACTGAAGGCGCTAATGAGTAGACAGGGCTGCCAAAAGTGGATTCTATGGGGGTAAAGTGGGGTGAGAGGGAGAGGGGGTCCGATGTGAAACAGATGAGCCAAAGATAGTAAGAATCAACTCTTTTTTTTTTTTTTGCTTTTTTTGGGTCATACCTGGCAATGCACAGGGGTTACTCCTGGCTCATGCACTCAGGAATTACCCCTGGCGGTGCCCGGGGGACCCTGTGGGATGCTGGGAATCGAACCCGGGTCGGCCGCGTGCAAGGCAAACGTCCTACCCACTGTGCTATCACTCCAGCCCCGAATCAACTCTTTATTTTTCAAAATTGGCTTTTGCATCACACCCCTCGATGCACAGGGATTACTCCTGGCGGTGCTTGGGGCAGGGGGAAGGAGGGCGAGGGAAACCATATAGAATATTGGGGATTGAACTGGGGTTGGCCACATGCAAAGAAAATGCTCTCCCTGGGGCTGGAGCGATAGCACAGCGGGTAGGCGTTTGCCTAGCACGCGGCTGACCCTGGTTCGATTCCCAGCATCCCATATGGTCCTTGAGCACCGCCAGGAGTGATTCCTGAGTGCAAAGCCAGGAGTAACCCCTGAGCATAGCCAGGTGTGACCCCCACCCCCCCAAAAAAAAAGAAAATGCTCTCCCTGCTGTACTATCGAGCGGGGCCCAGTAACGTCTCCATTGGAGACTTTGTTGTTACTGTGTCTGGCATAGCACAGCGGGTAGGGCGTTCGCCTCACAAGCGGCCAACATGGCCGACCCGAGTTCGATTCCTCCGCCCCTCTCGGAGAGCCCGGCAAGCTACCGAGAGTATTCAATATGCCAGACACAGTAACAACAAAGTCTCCAATGGAGACGTTACTGGGCCCGCTCGAGCAAATCGACGATCAACGGGAGGGCCTTTACTCGAGCAAATCGAGCTGTACTATCACTCTGGCCCTAAGAATAAACTTCAATGGTAAACTCAGAAAGTGGTTCCCAGAAGGGAAGGGGAAGGATTTGGGGGTGAGGATGGTGGAGAGGAGGGAAGGTTTGGGCAGAGCAGAGAACAAGCACAGATGGAGTTTCCATGCCACACAGGACACCAAGATAGGGATTATTTATATGGAATGTTAAAATGCAAAGATGTGTCAGTATGAACATAAAAGGGGGCTGGAGAGAGTACAGGGGTTAAAGCGCTTGCCTTGCAAGGACTGGGTTCAGACCACCAGCACTGTAGGATAACACTCTTTTGTCCTTCCTCAGGTAGCTTAGGTTTGTCAGGTCACACCCATCTAAGGACACTGAACTTGTATTGTAAGCAATGTCCTTTCTGTGTGAACACAGGAAGACAGTTAATATTATGCTTTGTAACTTGGGAGTTGATTGACTCCGAATAATATTTACTCCTGGGTATCTGATTTCTTGACTCAGTTGCCCTTAGTTCCTAGCACCCCAAAAGCAGGGTCCCGACGAGGGACTGAATGGACCCAGGGCAAGCAGTGAGCTACCCTGGCATCGAAATGGGCCAGGCCACGATTATATAGTTATAGTTATATATAATAGTTATAGTTATATAGTTGAGCCATGATACTCAACTATAAGTTGAAGGCATGATCATGGACCAGCACCACTTACGGTTCTCCTGAGCGCCACCAGGGGTCACTCCTGAGCACAGAGCCAGGAATAGTCCTGGACCCAGGCCCTAAAGCCCAGAGATGGTGGAGGATGGAGCTGAATGGTTGGGGCCATGATCTTCCCACCTGAGGCCCTGAGTTTTATCCCTGCCGCCCCTCCTCCTTCCCAGAGAAGTGACCAAAGCTAACTCTGGAGTTCGTGTCTGCGCTCCTGAGGCCTCATCCCTGAGGGTGAAGTTTCCTTCAGACCTGGGAAACCTTTTTAGGAAAGTCTCAGCTTCTCTGGCTGCTTGCTCAGGGCAAAATAACGGTTCACAGACTGCAGAGTGGGTTCTTTCCTTTGTCATAGCAAAGCACTGTTACATCCTCGCCTGCAAACTAACTACGTTTCGTGTGGTTTTGTGTTTTTGTTTTTGGACTCTGGGCTCAGGGATCACTCCTAGGGGACTTGGGGGACCATCTGTAGTGCTGGGGGTCAAATGCAGGTCTGCTGTGTAAGACAAGCGCCCGACTCGCTGAACAAGCTCTCCAGCCCTTAACAATCTGGATAAAAGGACTAGGCTGGCAGAAAGTGTTCCAAAGACAGAATGGGTTTAGCTACTGATTTTATGACTAGCTCACCCATCCCATCTTTTTTTTTTTTAACTTTTAATTGGCTCACCGAATTTCTTTGATTAGGTTTTGTTTTGAGGTCACACCTGGAGGTGTTAGCCAGTTGCTGGGGGAGCAAACCCAGATTTTTTGCTTGTAAAGTATGCATCCCAACCCTTTGAGCTATGTTTCATCCTGACTAACTAAAATTTTATTAGTCAGAAATGAGGGCTGCCTGTAATTTAAAAGTCTTCCTCCTTGGGTTCGAGGGAAAGTACAGTGGGTAGGGCACTTGCCTCAGCCTCGTATGTAGCCCACCCAGGTTTGATCCTCCAATGCATTACCAGGAGTAATTCTTGAGTACAGAGCCACGAGTAACCCCCAGATCACGGTGGTTTGTGCCTCTAACCCCCCCAAAAATAGTCTTCTTCATCAAGAAAGGAAGTCCAGCAAGAACTGACCTTGGTAATTATAGGCTCCAGGAAGTCAGCCTTGTATACATAACAGTCTTTGAAATACCCAGAAGAGTGGTTTACATCCCGGAGAGGAAGAACCAATATCTGCTAAAGGAGGATACGCAGCCTGAGGGCAAACCTAGTGGGATTCACCCACACTTTCTGCGGTGTGCAGGGCCTCGCACATGCAAGAGAAGCGCTCCACCGCGGAGGTCCAACCCCAGCCCCGGGGCTCAATGCTTCTGAACCTCAAATATTTTTCATCCGAAAATGGCAACCCAGAAGAAGGTCCAATGATCGACTTGATGAGATGAGGCGTGGATGGTGCATAGTACGGAGCTTGACCCGTAAATCGGAGCGTGAAATGAAAGGTGACTTATGGATCGGCACCTGGAGAGACGGAAACAGCGCCTACGCTGTGATTGGGGGTGGGGGGGGATCGAAGGCTCTGCGAGACAGAGGACCACAGCGGGGCTCGGGAGGATGCAGCGCGTGAGTCGTCTGCGGTCAGTGATTCAGGTGCGGAGGCGACAGATGGGACTTTGGGACCCCGTAGCCCGGGAGCGCGCGGCGGGCGCGTTGCGGCGCAGCGCAGGCGGAGGGAGGGCGTGGCCTAGCGCCCTCCGGACGCCCAGCCGCAGCCCGGGGGGCGGGGCCTGGCCCCCAGGGCGCGCCGCGATTGGCCGCCGCGCGCGGCTGACGCGGACGGCGGGCGCGAAGCCCCGCCCCCCGGCTCCGGCCCCGCCCCCCGCGCGCGCGCGCGCCGGCGAGTCGGCAGCCTCGCTCTGGCCCGCGCCGCGGCGCCCCCGCGCCGGGTCCGCGCGTCAGTCGGCGGCGAGCGCGTCTGCGGGGCGGCGGGCAGCGGCCGGCCGAGCGCGCCCACCCCGGGGAGGCGGAGGGCTTCGCGGGCGTCGCCGCGGCAGGCTCGGAGCCCGGAGACTCGCGCTGCGCCATGGCCCCCATTGGCCTCAAAGCCGTGGTCGGAGAGAGTAAGTGGAGTCGGGGGCCGCCCCGCAGGCCCCGCGCTGCGGATGCCCGGAGGGGGCCCGGCGCGGTACCTGCCCGCAGCGCCCCGCCCGGCCCGCGGCTCCGGCCCGGAGGGTCGCGTCGTCAGGGCGCCGCCCGCGCGGGGGAGCTCCCCCCGGGCCTCGGCGCCCGCTCCCCTGCTCGTCGGCTCCCAGCCCCGCATCCCCGGGCACCCCACCCTCCCTGCACCCCGTCGCTCCTGCACCCCTCCCTCTCTGCGCCCCGTCCTCTCTGCGCCCATCCCTCTCCGCACCCCATCCCTCCTGCATCCCACCCTCCCTGCACCCCTCCCTCCTGCATCCCACCCTCTCTGCACCCCGTCCTATCTGCACCCCATCCGCTCTGCACCCCTCCCTCCTGCACCCCACCCTCTCTGCACCCCGTTCTCTCCGCACCCCTTCCTAGCATCCCTTCCCTCCTCACCCCACCCCTGTTTTCCCTCCATCTCCACCCCAACGCTCCCGATTTCTCCGGTTTCTCGCCCCTCTCCACCCCTTTGTCGCCCCTTCTGCTCCCCCCCTTCACTCCGTCTCCTCGGGCTCCCCCGCAGCCGCGCAGTACCCCGACCCCTCTTCTCGCCTCGCCCCTGCCCCGCCGCTGCACCGCATGCCCCTCCCCGGCACCCCGGTCTGCACCCGCATTTCCTCCCCCCCCCGCCTCCCGCTCCCCTTCCTTGCCCTCCTTTATTCCCGACGCTCCCCGATTCCGCTCTCTTTCCTTCCCCGACCCTCCCTCCCTCCCTCCCTCCCACCCCCTCGGTGAATCGTGACGAGCGAAACCGCGGCCGGCGCCCCCCTCCCCTTCCTGCTTCCTGGGGCGCGCGGCCCGGGGGGAGGTGAACGCGCGGTTGCGGGGCTGCGGGGACGAGACCCGCCCGCGAGGGGCCCTGGGCGCGGGGGTGGGGGGCGAGAGGGGCCCTCGGCGCCTCCCCATTGCCGCGGTGCGGGGGCGGGGGGCTCCGGGGGCCCGAGCCCCGACGTCTGGGGGGATGCAGGGCCCGGCCCGCAGCGGCGCGACGCGGCGCGGGGCGGGACGCGCGGCGCTGCGGCCGCGGCCGGGTGCGCGCGGGGGAGGAGGACGCGCGTCGGCGCGGGGTGGACGCGGCCCGGGGGTCCGCTGCGGCGGGCTCGGGCGTGGGAGGCCGGACCTGCGGCCTCTGCGGGCCCGGGCGCCGCGGGAGACGTGGGTCTAAGCCGGGGCGGGGGGACACCCGGCGTGGCGAGGGGCGCCGTGCCCTGCGCTCCGTCTCGGCACCGAAGATCCAGGTGGGGTTTCGTCTCGAGGCGGCTGGGAAAGGAAGCGGAGCGAAAAAATGGGGAAATCGCAGCCTCCTGCCCTGATTCGAGCCCCTTATTCGAGCTCGCATCGCTCGCGATCCCCCTCGCGCGTGGTCCTCCCGCCCCAGATGTTTGGGCTGCGCAGGGGGGCCTGTGCCCCTCCCCACTTGTTGTGCAGCTGGCCCATCCCGGGGAAACGGTGCTGGAGATGGAGCCCGGAATCGGCCAGTGGCCAGAGGGGCCCTTGTCTAAGCACCTGCTTTGCCTGTGCTGTAAAGCTTCTGTCTGTCTCTCTGTCTCTGTCTGTCTCTCTCTCTCATACACATACACACCCACCCGCGGTGTTCAGGTCTTGCACCTGCCTCTGTGCTCGGGCATCGCTTCTGACCTGGCTCTAGGGACTCGATGGGGACGGGAGGGGGATAGAACCCAGGTCAGGTCACATGCAAGGCAAGGGCCTCACTGGCCTTTCTATCTCTCCGGCCCCAGGATTCTGTTTTTTTTCTTTTTGGGTCACAGCTGGTGATGCTCAGGACTGGCTGATGCACTCAGGAATCCCTCCTGGCGGTGATCAGGGGACCCTGTGGGATGCTGGGAATCGAACCTGGGTCAGCAAGGCAAACGCCCTACCGGCTGTGCTATCGCTCCAGCCCCAGGAGTTCTGTTTTTGAAGGAGAATCAGCCTGCTTCAAACTGGGAAGACCCAGAGGGACCACAGGCGACACCCTCCCTTACCCCCTGGGAAGGAGCTGGAGGCTGAGACCCGATGTGCTCCCCCAGATCAGCTCATTTTGAACCTCTTTCTTTCCGTTCTTGTGGTGGAAAGCCTGACTGGGCGGTGCTTGCTTTGCCTGTGCTCTTCCCACGTGAGCACCCCGCCCAGCTCCAGGGAATTTTATCTAAACCTCCTGTCCATTTCTTTGCAACCTTGGTAAACAAATAACTTTCTTCATTATTCTATAGATTCCATTTCCTTTTTAAAAGATTACGTGATGTTATATGTTGTATTCTTTCAAGTGTTTTTTTCCCCCCCTTCTTCTCTCTTTTTGATTTTTGTACTGTACCAGGCAGTGTTCCGGGCTCACTCCTGGCAGTGCTCAGGGAACTCTATGGGGTAGTAGGGTTTGAACCCAGGCTGACTTCCTGCAAAACAAGTGCCTTACTCACTGTACAGTTCTCTTAGCCCCTTTAAGTGTTTTGTGTGTGTGTGTGTGTGTGTGTGTGTGTGTGTTTTTGAGGTACACCTGTGATGTACAGGGCTTACTCCTGGCTCTGCACTCAGGAATCAGTCCTGAAGGTGCTCGGGGACCTTCTGGGGTGCCAGGGATCAAACGTGGGTCGGTCACATACAAGGCAAGTGCCCTACCCGCTGTACTATTGCTCTGGCCCTTGTGTTAAACATGATCCTTAGTGAAGTAACATTCCGTTATAACACCCAGGTTATATTTGACTGCTGCACTTATAAACAGAAGCCTTGAGTATTAGTAGTCTTTCTCCAGGATTCTTGTTCACTCAGGAGGTTCCTTACTCATCCCCTTGAGTGCCACCCCCCACGTCTTTTTTTAGAAGCAAGCACACAAATTTTAAGAAGTCAATACATAATCTGGCCAAAATTCCTTTTCCGAAATAAAGGAACGCCACTGTTGGTGAGAATAAGGCTAGACCAATTGTACGTGAAACGCTTGACGCTGCCTCCCGTTCCTGTAACCACCGAGTTTCATATACATTTTGGGAAATTTTTATTGCCGTCCTCCTTTGTCAATGACACAGGTTAATTTTAGCACCAGATTTTGTATGGGGCTTCTGACTCTGCAGTTTTTCCCCTCCAGAAATAAAAGTTAAGGCATTTCTTCAACTAGCCAACGTGCACCAGATGAAATGGCACCTTTGCTGCCAAATGTCACCTTTTGATTGGTCTCCTCAGCTGCCATCAATTCCTATCCTCATTGTTTATTTGCCTCATTTTCTTTTTCAGCAGGCCAGATCCGGCGCTTCTCAGGGGTTACTCTTTTTTTTTGGTCACCCAGCAGTGCTCAGGTTACTCCTGGGTCTATACTCAGGAATTACTCCTAGTTGTGCTGGAGGACCATGTGGGATGCTGGGGATCAAACCAGGATCAGCTACATGCAAGGCAAGCACACTACCTGCTGTATTATCTCTCTGGTCCTTAATTTAATTAATTGGCGGGGGGGGGGAGGGTTGTTTGTTTTTGTTTTAGAACCGCACCTGGCAGTGCTCACGGGTTCCTCCCGGCTCTGCACTCAGCAATCACTCCTGGCGGTGCTCGGAGACCATATGGGATGCCTGGGATTGAACCCAGGTCAGCTGTGTGCAAGGCAAATGCCCTTCCCACTGTGCTCTTGCTCCGGCCCCCATTTAATTTTCTTTCTAGCACTTAAAATGTTTGGAAATAATCTTGCTCAGTTTGGGGGGCTGGGGTCCAGGGTAGGGCGGGTCTGGTCTGGTCTGGTCATTGCTCCAGGCTTTCATCTGCTCAGATGTTGCGTGCGGGAGAGCGGGGCCTTCTCTGCTATATCGACCAGTAGTCTGGTGCTAGGAACAGTACAGCGAAGAGTCCAAGAGTCGGCCTCAGTATTATCAAGTGAATGGTTGGTACCGCAGAGAGCGTGGGAAGCGCCGTCCGTGTTGTAGTATCTTCTCCCGGCCCTGTCTCTGTCTCTGTCTCTCTCGGAGGTGGCGGGCGGGGACCGCACTCAGGATTCTGTACTCGGGACTTGGGGGACCCTGTGTGGTGCTGGGGATCCAACCTGGGTCGGCCGCGTGTGAGGCGAGCGGCGCCCCCTCTAGCTCAGGAGTGTGGAGGAGCTGGGAAATTGAGTGGTGCTGCCGTGGTGTGTTTGTCGGGGCCCGCTGGGAGCACTCTGGAGGAGCACCGGGATGGCTGAAATAGGGCAGTGGGTGGCGGGAGAGAGTACCACAGGGAAGTTGCTTGCCTTGCATGCAGCTGACCCAGGTTTGGTCCCTGGCACCCCCTGGGGCCCCCAGTCCCCTCCTGGAGTGATTCCTGAGCATAGGGGTCAGGAGGAAGCCCTGAGCACTGTTGGGTGTGGCCCCAAAACAACAAAAATAGGGTAATGCTCTCAGAGACAATCCTGAAGAGCTGCCTGTCGCCCTCCCCCTCCTCACCCCCCTTTCCACCGTCACTCTCCAGTCACTTTTTTTTCCTTCTTCTTGGGTTACACCCAGTGATGCTCAGGGGTCGCTCCTGGCTCTGCACTCAGGAGTCACTCCTGGCGGTGCTTAAGGGACCCTGTGGGACGCCGGGGATTGAACCCGGGTGGCCGTGTGCAAGGCAAATGCCCTCTCCGCTGTGCTATCGCTCCGGCCCTCTCCTGTCACTTTCGACACGTACCTAGGGTGACCTTTGATTCTGCACTTGTCTGGGTTGCCCAGCTAGACCGGAAGTTCCTGCCAGGGCTGTGAGAATGGGTCTCAGGCCTGGGTCTGTCTGCAGGGGCTGTCGCTGAGCCTCGTCTGACTTCCAGTGCTTAACAAAATCCACTTAGGCTCCCGGCATGGAACTCCAGCCACCACATATATTATCAGTTGGTGGCTTTAACAGAGCCTTTTTGTGCCTCCACATTTTTTTTTTTTGGTTGAAGGGGTGCGGCATACCCCGTGGTGCTCGGAGGCAAGTCCTGGCTCAGTGCGTGGGGTTCACTCCC